GAATAGATTGCGACATGCTATAAACAACTTGCTAGCTGAGTCGATCAACGATCGCGTGAGGTAATAAATGCGTTGACAGCGGAGATAGCGGTATGCGTCCGGACAACGCTACTGCGAGATGTCATTGACCTCGAGTCTAACTTAGCCTAAATTACATTTAACCACATTATATAGCACATATATCGCGCGTTTGTCTTTCTTTTATGGGTAAAGGTGCCGCCTTAGTTTATCTTTTATTGTATTCTCTTGTGGTAAGCTGTTAAAATCCGTCATTACTGTAACAAATCTTTATTTGCCTCCGGGACGACCCGAAATGCCTTGCGATCGAAGATGGCCGCCGGGTCGTCAAAGTAGTCCATTAATCAACGAGCGAAAAGATGAAAGAGATAATAAATGAGGGGAAAAAAGAGTACGTGAATCAATGATTGAGATACCTAAGGGAATGAAGGAATAAATGGAAAAAAAGATTAAAGAAGATAGTAAACAAATCAATCAATTAATAAGCCTTTTCAAGCTTAAGAATCGATTCCACTGCGCATGCGATTTTATCCCGAATTTCTCACCTTCTTTTGTTTAATTAATAACAAAAGAAGGTTTAGACAAAACAAGGTGAGAAATTCGGGATAAAATCGCAGGCGCAGTGGAATCGATTCTTAAACTATGAAAAGCCTTATTAGAGAGCGAAACAAGAAACATAACGAATTAGTATTAGAACGGCAATGTCATATCTCATCATTAGTTTTTGGCAAATCTCACTCAAAGATGGCGGCGGCTATTACCTCACACGTTCATTTCCACTCGCAATGAAAAATTATCCCGACAATGAAAATGAAGATGCTATACATTACTTTCAACCAATCAGATTTGAGCGCTGTCGAAAGGATTGCAAGTCCAAGTTCAAGTGTAAAAGCGAACATAATAAGGAATTTGAATCGATACAGGTGCTGTGAACTTAAGCTCAAGCTCCTTCAAGGCTTAAGGTATGAAATATATATTTTTCAACTTCGTCGTTATTTAGACAGTATGTGCTTATATATTCTTAATCTGAGCATCGAAACATAATATTTTCCGTTTTCTTTTAAGGATTGAACTCTTTTTTTAGTTATACTTTTTAATGATTTTGAACCCCAGGTTGAAATAAAAAAAGAGAAAGAAAGAGAGAAAGAGAGAGAGAGAGAGAGAGAGAAGGAAAGAAAGAGAGAGGAAGAAAGGAAGAGATCAGCTCAGTCTCTTAAGCCAGTAGGTTTCAGCACAAGATAAGACTAGAATTTACGGAATCAAACCGCAGGGTGACATCTAGGCCCTTCTAGATAGAATTAGACTGATTAGAACCAAAACCACCCGTGATAATGATAAAAGCTCTATTAAGAATTTCTCGTCAGTTTAAAACTATACATCTTAATGAAAATCCACTCTCGCCCTTCAGTATAAAAAGAAATTTCGAATAAATTTGAATAGGGGTATCTAATGACATCCAAACTTCATGCCGCTCCGATCGCTCCTTGCTATTGAGACGCCAAAAAAAAACAACAACAAACAAACAAACAAACAAACAAAAACAAAAACAACAAGAAAAAACATAGACTAGTGAGACTTACTTATTACCAAGAATAGATTGTGATCTCCCTAGATGAGCCTCTTAGAGCTAACAATGAGAAAATATATGGTTAAATAAAAAAATAAAAAAAGAATAGATCATCAACTGACATCAATTCTCGTGAGCATTTGAACGCTTATGGAAATGAGATGAAATAAATTGCTATTCTCCCCAATTTTTTTTTAAGATTTCGTAAATTGGTTTTCCAGCTACAGGTGTATATTTTCTTTTCCGTTGTACTTTTTCTATAAATATACTTATAAATACATATAATTTATATAATAAATATATATTTTTTTCCTTTCTAATCATTACATGCAATTTCCCTGTACTTTTCTATATATATATAAGTTGTTTTTTTTTCTCTCTCTCTTTTGTTAATATGTTAAACTTTTTTTTTTTTTCGTTTTTCCTAAAACTCCAGAAACCTTGTAATTATTGTTAACTGTGTAATCTCCCACGATGAGCCTAGCTCTTGGAGAGAACACAGAGAGTAAATATGTTTAAAGAAAAGAAAAAAAAAAAAAGCTACAGGTGTTGCGTAGGAAGTCCTGTGGATGATCAAAATGATGGAATAAAATGAAAAGGCCTACCCACACGTATCCGGATTTTTTTTTGAAAAAAGGATTCTTTAAAAGTCCGTTCTCAAAAAGACCTTCTCGTCCACACGTAGCGTTATCAAATCCTTTTCTCCCGTCCACAAGTATCCATTTCGAGCTAGTTGCGTTTTCAAGGCCAATCCGCAAAGTGACAAAATCCATTTTCAAACATCCGGATATATGTGTGGACGGGGCCTTCAATGAAACCTTGGTTTGATAAATTTGATCGATTTTTAGATTTCAGCTGTTTGTGTAAATACCGACATAAGACATTCCACTTCACATCCAGGGAAATTCATTAGTTTTTCTCTCGTAAACTTTTTTTTTCAAGTTGCTGAACATCTTTGAATTTAAACCTAACTTTACAGAATGTATATATGAGAATTAATATTAAAAATGTGTGATGATCACTTAATGGTTTTGCGAAGTGATGCATGGGTTTGAGCTAGCACTAAAAGGGACAACACAGATGTCCCTAATTTTAGCAAGTATGCAAATATATGATTTTTTAACACCTTCGGAACTGTCAATTCACTTGAAAAAACGCCCTTAAAATTTGTAAGTCTTTGTGTGTCGATCTATAATAAGCTGCTAGTTCGCATGCAATATTTCAGCAGTCTTATAGGCTTTGCGTAAGTAGATTAGAATTCATATTCAAGTCGGGATATAAGTTGGGATATAAGTTGTGACAATCCAAGGTGAAAGCTTTATGTACCCGGCGCCAGCAAACTAGATCAGTTCAGAATGAGAAGACCTCTTTAGCTACCGAATACACTGAATGACCAACTTATTGAAAACCATTGCAAGGTAAATGATGAAGGTTTTTTTGAGTATTTCTATTTACCAAAAGACAAGGATTGGGTGCTGCTTAGCTGAGATCTTGAAAATTGAATATATATATATATATATATATATATACACAGCAGTACACAGCTATATTTGCAAAAATTATGGCCGTTTCAAATATACATCATGTATATTAGAAGTATATCAGACAGGGCGGGATATTTTTTTTTTCCACTGAGGAAGCCCTAGTGATAGACAACTCGAAAAAATATCGGGGATGATATCCCATAATTTTTGATATGTTTTCGCATGTAAAACTAGGGTTCGTGCTGAGAAAAATACTGTAAAATTCCAGTCTAAGTAGTATTCAAGGACTACAAATCCTTTTCTCAAGGTGTAATATCACTCTATGGTTTAGAGATCGTTTAAGTTTTAAAATGCGATCTCAAGATGTCAAGCAGTTTGTTTTTATTTGTCATGCTCGATACATCTCATCATTAACAACTGCTAGCTTTATCTATAATTATATCCGACTTTATAAGAAGATATTGCGACCATTTTGTGACCTTGGGTCCATCCACACTATGCAAAGTAACTAAAAGTATTCTGTATTTATGCAAAGCATGGGCAGAACCAGGATTTTTGTTGAAGTGTCGTCATGCACACACTATACCACTGTCGCAACACATATACATCTATATAAGAGTCATGAATTTCAACAGAAAAGGATTAAGATATCAAAGTGTAAATTCTCTCTAATATATCGCATGTTAAAAAAGGGAGAGAAAAAAACGAGTCGTAAGGAAGAAAGGTTCGGACCACCTGCAACACTCCCCAGGATCCGCCCTTGATGTTTGGTTTAGCCTGGTTTTGGCTTCTAATACTCTCGACTCGCGTTATTTACGGCGATGACTAATTCAATTCATTAAGCAGTATTCAGTATTTACCAAACGAAAAGGATTCTTTAGCGCTATAGAAAGAAAATATTTACATTTTCGTGCTTGGAACAAACTTTGTTTTTTAATAAAACGAGGAAGTGGATTGTCCTTCGGAGGTGAACTGACAATTCGTCAACTTCGAGACCATCTAGAATGCACGTTTTTGATCGCTGCCATCCATCCATCCATCCATCCATCCATCCATCCA